AAAAATACTGATTAAAATTGATAATCTTGATACCATTTTCTCCAGCTTTTTGTAGATTACTGACTGATGTGAAAGTTAATAATTTACATGGAAGCCATATTGCATCTCTCCAGGTAACTCTGACTTGAAATAAGCCTTCTGCCAGTATCTCTGGTGTTTTGTTTGAAGATGAGTGACAGCACATTCTCACATCTGCTTGCAACTAGCTCTGGAATTTGCAGCGTACGTGGTTTTTGCCGAGCAGTGATCTCCGATATGTGTAGTAGTCACTAGGTGGTGCTACCCCAGAAGCAAGAGAGAATTTGAGACTGGTAACATGGGTTTGACAATTACTGAAAATGTAGTTCTTAAATGCCAGTATGAACAAAAAGATGCCTTTCCCACCCTGAGAAGATCCTCTGTTTGAAGTTTATTTATATAACCGTCATGTCTTCCACTGTCAAAAACCGAGCAGCAGCAAGAAAGTAAATATTAAAAAGACTAAATTCTTTTACTAATTTAAGATCATGTTAATCCCTGTAATTTATCAAATATACTTATCCTCTCTTAACAAATGCTTCTATATCACAGTAGCAGACTGCATAGTTTAAAGGGCCAGAAATTAACAGCAGGACATTAAATATACATTTGTAATAGGAATTTATGGTTAAGAGAGTGCACAACTGCTGATATGAAACACTAGAACTTAAACATCCTGACACTAATATTGTAGTGTGTACAGCACATTTTGCCATCTTTCAGTGGAAACCTAGGCACATTTGGCACGTTTTGGAATCTGTTTGCACTTTCTAGGGACCTTTAACCTCAAAACTGAATTAATATATTCTGGTTTAATCTACCAGTTCTCCCAATTACTTCCATATTTGTAACTTTTTTCTTCAGACACAGCTTCTTGTGCTGAGATTTCTATATGTTCTGAAATTAAAATAGAATTTACTCCAAATACAAGAGAGAAGTAGAGCATTTAAAAAAAATTTGCCACTACTCCAGTTGAACATGCGTGTTCTCGTTCAGATATAATGCATTCCTGTTTGTCTCTAGTTTTGGTTTATCACTGTTGCAGCTAAAGCATCAGAGAGAAAAGGAATCATGCAATCTAGAAAACAGAGTCCCCTTGTAAAAGAAGAGGGCTTTAATTGGAAAAATTAAGGAAAGCCTTGGTACATTCACCTGTGGTATCAGTGAAGAGTCAGACCATTTAACTCACTGTCCAGATATTAAAGAATTTTTGTAGCATCAGCTTTGAGTGTTGGTACCATAAAACTGCTTGGGCAAAGCACCACTGGGGCTTTTTGAGACTGCAGCGCTCTCTTCCACTTTTCCCCTCTCCTACCTTATGTTCCCCAGCTGACTAGATCACACTGACGGGACAGGGAGGTGTGCCAGAGGGGCTTCGTCTTCTCAGAAAAGCTGTAGCACAACATGATTCTCTACTCTTGAAACACCATCTCTGCAGACATTTTCCCTTTCTATGACTCACAGACCTTTAGAGCTTTTGTCAGGATTGCTCTGCTCTGCCTTAGGTCTTGCTGGAGAGACAGGGGAGAGTTACCACCTGGAGGGAGGGAAGGAGAAACCCACCAGAGTAGAGACACCATGGAAATGTCACAGTCCTAGCTCTGAGGGTCAGTAGGGGCCAGGTTTGGGTGCGTAGAATAAATACGGAACCAGGTACCATTACTGCTACAGCATCATCATTGTCTACCAAGTTAATAAATTTTGGTAGCATTGGCTGTCGCTCACACGTTCAGAGTGTTATGGTATCAATATATCATCCATCGCTAATAAACACTCGTTGTTCATGGTGCCTAGATATTTGAGCATAATCTGTCAGAGAACTGTGATGAAAGTTTTCACAGCCTTCACTGAAGAGTTAGGATAGTGGTGTTTTAACAAGGAAATTTTTTTGTGCAAAATAGGAGGAAAATAGATTTTTCTAAAAAACAAATTAATTATCATTAGCCTGCCTAAAGGTCATTTCCCCTCCTCATTATTGGTTTTTAGTCTATGTTCCTTGTGCCTTTGAATGTCCAGCCCTGCTTACAGCCCTCAAACAACAAGTAATTATAAACAATATATGTCTTATATAAAATAAAAAAAACCAACTAGCAGACTATGTGCTGAGTAAGAATGTGAAAAAATGTTTCAGGCTTTCTTCATGCACACTAGAGAACGCAAGAACTAGGGCCTTTTGCAAGGTCACTTTAAAGAACTGCTTTCCACCGCCCCTTGGTGACAAGAGTACTATCTCAATACTAATTTGTCTGTAACTGCGATAGCAGCTGAGTCCTCATGAAGAGTCAGAAACTGAGGGAAACAAATGGATTTTTGTGCATTTCAGTCCCATGAACAGATACTTCTGAAGACAGAGTGAAATTGTGGCCAGTTGAAATCGTGGGTGCTTGGCCGTTGTTTTCGGTGGAACCGTGGTTTGACGGGTGAGCGTTTGCCGCTGTGCGCTCCCGTTGAGCCACAGGCAGTGGCAGGGCTCCTGGCCTGGTGTGTGCGGTGCTTGTGCGCTGAAATGTAGCATGTTTCCATTTCGGCTTAGCGGATTTTTTCTCTTAATTCTACACATCACAATAGAGCAGAAGACTCAAATACATCTTAATTTTACTAATTTATCCTACAATAAACTCTTTTCATAATGGTTCTTTTTTGTTAGTATTTTCACCTCTAAGAGATAACTGGAGGCACTCTAAGTCAAGTGAATAGGAAGCAAAGCCATTGTAATTATAATCT